CGTCCTTGTTTTCATTTGATTTATGATCATCTTTGGTGGTTAAGAGAAATCACCAAATACTTTATTAAAGCTTTGTTTTAGGTCTAGGTCAGAGTGGCTTTCGATTTTTATATAGTCATTTATTTATTTTTACCTGATTTGTTGTGATTGATATAGAGCAATTTACATTTTTTGAAATTAAATTTATTGTCATTGTCACAAATTGGACATAAATAATTGTACAAAGATATGCATCTGTAACCCTACAGTTAAATGTATCCTTTGTCCCACAGATGGCAGAAGCTCAAAATATTACCAACCGAACTTCACGGTGAAGCGCTCCTTTACGGCGCGCAACACTGGTGAACTGCCCGTCCAGGTGTGGGGCTTCAACATCAATGACTTACCTTGTGAGGGCTACGGCTTCAAAGTTTTGAACTGTGAAGGCTTCGAGCTAGCCCCCAACGCTAGTCACAAGGTGGACATCGCGTTCACTCCTGACTTTACCCTGTCCAAGGTACAACAACGGCTAGTCATTCACACCAGCCTTGGGTTGGTGAGCGGGCCCGAGGAGGAGGCTGCGGCACCGAGCGAGAGCCAGGCACAGCCGGGCCGAGTTGAATATTCCCTGGTTGCTACCGTCCCTACCCACCTGCTTGCACAATGCGGAGCTGCTGTGCCCAGGCCCTCATGGGAGCCCCTCCTCTATTATGCAATCTTACCTCTGATGGCGGCCATGCTGATTGGGGCCTTGATCCTGGCAGCGCTTGAGGCAGACCATATCCTCAGGTCTACCAAGATTGCCATGACGACCTCTGTGCCCTCCAATGGACATGCGCCGGCCTTTGACAAGTCCAAAGTGTTTGACTTGAAGAACATTGCGCACCACGACTCTAAAGGTGCTCCCCTGAAGAATGGCTATGCCAATGGCCATGCTCAGGTGGAGAGCCTCAAGGCAAGCAGTCCTGTTTGCAGCGGTTCTAGCAACAAGAAATCCACAGCTCCGTCATCCACGGGTGAGATTATTGCAAATGGTAGAAAGTCTGCCTCAGGTGCCAGCTCTTCTAAAAAGGTTGGCAATAATCAGATCACAAGTTCAAGTACAAAATCCAAATACACAAAACAGTCTGACTCTAAGTTAGGTCCAGCATCTGGAGAAAGCATCTCTGTTATATCTGACATTTCTGCAAATCAGAACCAGAATAGGAAATCCAAAGGATATAATAACAAAAGCAACAGCAGTAGAAGCTCGGAGTCGCCAATGTCGTGGCGCAGCTTCTTCTCGCGGGCTGTGAGTGCGAAGGAGGACAATGCAATGGGGGCGGCAACAGCCAAGAACGAGCCAGCCAATCCCAAAAAGTCACCTAACACCAGAAATAAAGAAGAGGCGTCTGTTCTCAAGCAATCGGTCGGCACTGAGACAGATTTGCACATCGAAAACTGCTCTAAGCTAAGAAGACGGAACAAGCCGAGTGTCGAGGAAGAGACATCCTCCACGACAACAGAGAGTTCCAATACAGATGAATTATCTATAAGTGAAAGGGTAAGAACAGGCTCAACCTTTGCCTCTTTTCAGTTAAAGACATTTGGCCATAAGTGTTGTTGTATATTGCACTATGTAAGGGAGACTGAAAGGTAGACAGTCTATTATAAAGTATTTTAAGAAATTGTACTAGATACATGTTAATTTGAAGAAGGGAATAACATTGAGTTGCAACAAAAAAAAATCTTGGATTGAGAAATAAATTCTTGTATAATTTACAATTCTTGCTCTTTCACAATATGTTCCTCTTGATCTTCCACCTCTTGCCCTCCTCTTCCTCATCTCTTTCTACCTACATTTTCTTCTTGTTTTCCTAATTTATGTCGCTGTTTCTCTCCCCAGGACACACCTTTGAGCAAATCATCAGATGTGGCATCAGTGAGTGGGACAACGGGAAAGGGAGGCAAGCGGCGCAGTGTGCGTGCAAAGGGAGGCAAGGGCACAAGCATGGAGACTGGGCGGGTGGCGAGCAGTGCGCTAGATGACGAGTTGGGCTTCGAGATCAGCACAAAGGTTAAGGGGCTGAAGAAGCTGAAGGAGTCTTCAGGTCGCAGCAACTTTGGTGGCGACATCTATCAGCCAAATACACTGGAGCTGCCTTACACACTGAAACATATCCGGCAGAAGGACTCAGACCGCCCCAAGGAGAACCACAGGAACCCAAAGGGTACCACCAATAAAGTGAGCTACAGAAATATTTATTTTGGGGGCATTTGTGAGTTATTTTTGTAGAATTTGATATATTCATGTTTATTTTTTATTTTTTGGTATGGTGCTGTTTGAGCATTTGTGTAGATTTAGGATTTGTGGATGTGAGTGAGATATAAGATATCTTTCATGAAGCTATATTCATCGTTTGCTACATTTGCACCATTTGTAAACTAATGTATAGGGGAATATTAGCGAGATTATTGTCCTTCTGTATATCTTCAACCTTTTGTGTCATGGAATTACATGTTATATGCATCCCTTTTGCAAAACCTGAAATGTTTGATCCTTCCTTCAATGCAGAATAAAGATTCAGGTGAGAGTATGGGCAGCACAGGGTCATCGCCAGTGCCAAAGTGGGACGAGTCAAGGTCAGCCTCGGGTGATGGTACATCAGCCACGTCAGCGTCAACGTCAGGGATGGCAACCCACAACAAACCCCAGACGCAGCCACAACCACTTGCACCAAGGGAGTCGTCCTACTCTGCCATTCTGCTCGGCACTGACAAGCAGGTGGGGCATAGAATCATATACAGCATTTACCTCTTTAGTAGTGAGTTGTTCTTAGCTTCTTGATTTAATTGTACTAGTAGATATAGAGATAGTGACCACAGTAATAACAGCCATTGTTTTTGATCCCCATGTAATTGCATTTATTTATGATATCTTTCTTGTTTCTTTCATTTTGTTATGAGTAGTGGTAATGTGTGAAAATTGTTTACATTGCTGTTCTTCACTTCATACCAATTGTCAAAACCTTCACTAGATGAAACAGTGTTTACCATGTTCCGTTGCAGAAAGCCAAAGTCACACCCTTCGTCAAGGTTCCACCAGAGATGAAAAAGATTGAAAAGCCCCTAGGTGTCATTGGCCAGAAGGCGGGCAATGGAGGCAGCAGCACGAACAGCAGTGGCATGGGTGGCTTGCACAGTACGTCCAACCCAGTGACAAGCGCAGCCGTCCCACCACTGTCCAGTAACTCACTCTTTACCATTCCTGACAACAATTACTCGCATCGGCTTAAGGAGGAGGCTTACTCACGCAGCCTATACAGTGGCTTTGGAGACAATGCTGCACTGTCTGGCCCACAGAACAATAACAGTAGCCACTCGTGGGACCCCAAGACTCTCACAGTGCCTGCCATGAGGCCACCCCCTGGGCTTGTGCAGGCACATGAATTTGTGCGGCATCATGGCCCTCTCACAGGTAAGGCTGAATTTTCCCCCTCTTAATGGACCTCTTTCTATCTATCCTCTCACACATTCTCTCTCTCTACTTCTCCTTCTCTACCACTCCTCACCTCAGTCTTAGGAATGGATTAATTGCAGTTTAAAAGAAGCCTAAAGCTATCTACTCTAGAATTACACAATGCATATGAATTTAATGCCAAATTTACAGCCTCCTTTCATACTGACAAGTATCTCTTTGGTTTCAGATGAGGACTGGCAGTACTGCAACCCACAGGTGGGTGGCTCACTGTGGTCAGATGGCAGTGCTTATCACAATAACAACATGGGCATGAACGCCAACAGCACTCCACCGCCGAGCTTGTGGGACTCCCTTTCCAATATCTGGTCGCCCCCCTTCTGGTCCAATCAAGGGACTTCATGCCCGCCTAACACGCCCTCACCATGGGGCTCCTCCTCACTGCCCAAGGCCTCAACGCCGCCTGTGATGAGTGACGCCAATGGAGCGGTGTCCAAGGGCCTGGGCTTTGACCCCTTCCACTCGGACAACAACATCTGGTCAGCACCTGGCTCAGGCCACACCGGTGACCTGTGGGCTCCACCAGTATCCAACAAGAAGGAAGCCTAACTGAGCCAGAAGCTGTACTGCAGCAGTGTGTCCTTAACAATGGTCATGTGGACAATGAGGAAGAAGAAGCCCCCCCCCCTTTTTTTTTTGCGTAAAAAGTTTATTTAGATGGAAAACATGTAAGGGAGGGTGTGGTGTGCCCTCCATTTTCTTTTCTTAATTCTATTCTTTCTAATCATCTCTCATCATTTTTCCTTGACACTCCTTTTTCGTCTCTCATCTCTTCTCTTTCATATCCTGCACCTCTCACCTCTCGTCTCCTCTTTCTTCTTGCTTTTCTCTCCTCTTCAGTTTCCTCTCCCCTCTCTTTATTTTCTCTTTTCTCTCCCCACACTCTCCTTTCCTCTCCTCTCTCTTCTCCCCCCTTCCCCTCTCTCTCCTCTTTCCTCTCTTTTCTTCCCCTCTCTCTCATCTTTCCTCTCCTTTCTTACATCTCATAGAAATCTTTATTTTTATTTTAAAATTAAACTAGGATGGAAGTAGTTCCATTACTACTAGAAAAGGCCTTTTACTTAAAAAGTTCGCATTTTTTTTCGTTCATCAACCGAAGATATTGAATTTATTTTAGTAATAAAGATCACTTTCCAGTCATACAAGAGTAAACACAGTTTTTTTAATGAGACAAGAAAAACTGATCTCTTTTCTTCTGTCTTGCGAGTGTGTCAGTATGAAAGAAATTATGGAAAGTGTGGCTGTGTATGTATGTCTGTACACATGTGTATTTGCTTTTTTAAGTTGTGCCTTTGTGATTTGAATACAATAAGCTTTTTTTTGTTTTGTTTTGTTTTTGTTTTTTTGTTTTTTGTTAATGAGAGAGCTGGTGTGTCAAGTATATGTGTATACTTTTGTTTGCTGGCTTGTAAGTTAATGTTTGTTATGTATATGTGTATCATCATATACAAGTAATGACTGTATGTATTTGTTAGTAAATTATATGATTTACAAAAGTGAAAAAGTGTACTCAAATTTGTGCAAGGTTTAGCTTCTTCAGTTTAGACTGTCAAAAGATATGATTGGTATATTGAGTGAAGATAACTTACTTCTGCAGTGAAAACAGTATGTTTTCCGTTTCCAAGTTCAAATGTTTTAATTTATATATCTTTTTTATTGTGTTACTCTACTGATCATTGCAATTATCTTTGCATGTAGTTTAGAATTTATATATTTTTTTTAGAGAATACATGTTTCCCCTTTTTTTTATTTCTTTTAGCGACATTTTGATTAACAAATTAGTTTGTTGCACAGAAATGTAGATGAGTTTTTTTTGTCTCAGTACACACTAGACTTTTATGACTTGTTGTTTTACGAATTGAGAGTAAACAAGGAAAAAAGCNTCCATCTGCGTTCACGATATAAAAATTATTTTCCTTATTTTACGGCGTCTTGGAGATTCTCGTCTGATTTCGCGGGATGTTCTCTCTTTCCTTTCATACTCCTTCCTTTTGTCAGATATTCTAGTCTTTTTTCCCTCCTTCTGTCTGTCTGGTTTCCTCCATTCTATCCCGCTTCTCTGATTCCGTCTTTTTTTTTTTTTTTTTTTTTTTTTTTTTTTGTGTGTTGTGTGTGTGTGTGTGTGTGTGTGTGTGGTGTGTGTGTGTGTGTGTGTGTGTGTGTGTGTGTGTGTGTGTGTGTGTGTGTGTCGTGCAACGGTCAGCGTTCTTGTCTAGAAATCTTGCTGACCTGCGTTCAACCCCGCGCGCTTCCAGTGGATGGTAACCCCGGCCATTCCTTGCACACAGGGGGAGATTTAGGAGCAAAATAAAAAACGGCAACAGAATATCCTCTGTAACAAATCGAATTTAAAAAAGCTCTCTATCTGTCTGTCTGTCTCTTTCTTTCTCTCTCTCTCTCTCATTTACCAAATTCTTATTTTTCCCCTAGAATTCTCTCTTACTTTTTTTTCTTCAACTTTCTCCTCTGTATCCCTTCTCCCTCCATTTATCCTCCATTCTTCCTTTCTATCAGTTACAGTGTGTAGAGTCTGAGTTTGATGATTATATGATTCCCAGCATTGCAGTCTTGTTTATTGTATATAAAAATATACAATTAGATACATTATTAAGCCAATAATGTGACAATATTCAACAACAGAAAATGCACCAGCATCTCTTTATAGGAAATGTATCAGATGTATAACTTAAGAAAATGCAATATTGAACCTGTAAACCAGTTTTATCTAAAAAGTATACAGCTATTCCTAGTGTGCTGTAGGGCTGAAGATTTAAAGTCGCTAAATGGGACTGTGACTCTGCCTTTGGTAATGCTCAAGTGAAATACCCAGCTGAAGTGACATCGGTTGAAATTTCCGCCGCGATGACGTTCGGTCCGCCACATCACATCAGTCCATACCAGAATGGTTTCAGAAAATTTCATGTTTACTCTATTTTGACATGGGAAAATATCCTAATATTATTTTCATTTGCATAAAACCATCTGTAGTCGAAAAAAAAAAAAAAATCAGCCTTCGGAAAAAAAGTCCGTAGTGACGTCACCATCCGTCGGTCGTCTTTCGTTTCCATTTAGCAGACGAATTTCCGTAGAATTCCAACCCTGCTCACCTTCCACGCCAGTCAACTCTTGTGATTGACGTCTTTTCATCAATAAACACGAAGGTCATGACGAGAGAGAGAATGTTTTTTTTCATATGCCTCTTTTGAAGAAGAAGAAATCTCGTGTTAAAAGACGATATGATAAAATATTGATAAGATTCGACTGTCACGAGAGGAGGAAGAGTGAAATCATCTTTTATGTGGTTCTTCTAAGGGAAAAACGTGAAAGAAATAGATTGCTTCTCCGGTCGCCAATTCGATTCAGTGTTAAAAGACCACACACACACACACACACACGCAAGCACACACATTACAATATATTAACTAATCTGTGTCTAATTTCTTCTTTTTTTTTTTACTTTTTGCCAAGCACAGTGACAATTCTTTTTCTTGTGTTTTTTGCCCTATAAAGATCTACGTGCAAGACGTCCTTGTGCAATTCCGCGTTATTCTTTGACAAGTCACTCCGAAACACTAGATCATTGTTCTTTTACGCCTCCTCTGTTCTCTTTTCGTCTTCAAAATTATTCTTTACTCAAAATATGACTGTGCACATATCCTCTGAAAATCAACGCAAGTTAATTCGCATACGTACAAACCCACAAAAATGAGTTTTAAAAAAATCAAATAAAACAAACCAACATAAAACAAAAATCACCAAACAAAACTAAAAATCTAATTCCAAAATACAAATCAAACCACAATAAAAAAAAAAAAAAAAAAAAAACTGCTCCACGGACCACCGGCAACCGCCATGCAACGTCATGCTCCCCCTCCGCCTTATTAAAGCAACAAGTGTCGGAGCGAATGCATGGCAACAAGGGCGGAGACGCTGTACCTGGGTCCCGAGGAGGTTCGACGCATCAATGAACCCCTAATCAAGGTGTAATTAAGACCTAATCACCACTCGTTAAAACCCCGGAGGTGGCGTAAGAAATTGACTTTAAGTAATCATTATCGTTTGATTGAGTGGAACGATTCTTACGACACGCGGGAGAGGGAGAGAGGGAGGGAGGAAAAGGGGGAGGGAAGGGAGAAGGGAGGACGGGAGGGGAGGGGAAGGAGGGGGAGGGGGAGGGAGAAGGACAGAGAGAGAGAGAGAGGGAGACCGTAGAGGTGGGGGAGAGGAGAGAGAGAGAGGGATAGAGGGGGGAGGGAAAGAGGGATAGACGTGGAGGGAGAGGAAGAGAGAGAGGACGGAGAGGAAGAAGAGAAGAAGAGAGAGAGGGGGGACAGGAAAGAGAGAGAGAGAAAGAGAGAGAGAGAGAGAGAGAGAGAGAGAGAGAGAGAGAGAGAGAGAGAGAGAGAGAGAGAGAGAGAGAGAGAGAGAGAGAGAGAGAGGAAGAGAGAGAAGAGAGAGAGGGGGGAGAGGGAGAGAGAGAGAGAGAGAGAGAGAGAGAGAGAGAGAGAGAGAGAGAGAGAGAGAGAGAGAGAGAGAGAGAGAGAGAGAGGAGAGAGAGAGAAGAGAGAGGGGAGAGAGAGAGGAGAGAGAGAGAGAGAGAGAGAGAGAGAGAGAGAGAGAGAGAGAGAGAGAGAGAGAGAGAGAGAGAGAGAGAGAGAGAGAGAGAGAGACAGAGAGAGAGAGAGAGAGAGAGAGAGAGAGGAGGACATAATTAATTCTACTTTCGTGTTGTCCCAGTTTACGCGCGTGCGGTAAGTCAAACGCGCGATCACCGTTCGTATGCGCGCATCCAGGCTTCCCTTCCCAACAAAAACACAACACTACCGCCACACCCACATGACCTTAGCCACCCTGGATTCCCGATACCGCGATACCAAGTGAAAAAAAAAGAAAAAAGAAATAAAACCCAAAATTACCAAACAGAAAGCCAGCCAGCGCTCTCTCCTCACAGCCCGCGGTTCGCAGTTCATAGTTCAATCCCAAATTCGTGACTGTCAGGTAAAGTCGAAGCCAAAGCCAGACGCCAATTAAGAGCGCAGGAAACCGCAATCAGATTATAATACGAACGCGTGCGGTCCCGCCTCCACGTGGCCGGAGGGACCTTCTACTTTCTCACTTTCTCACTTGCGGGATTTACAGCGGAGAAAACCGATAGGAAACCGAAATTCACGCCGCAGGAATGGGAGTGATGTGCGTGCGTATCTGCAGAATTCCGGGGAATGGCAGATTCTTATAACACACACGCACACACACACACCACACACGCACACACACACACACACGTACACACACACACAAAAAAAAGAAAAAAAGTGGCATCCTTTCTCCCCTAGCAAGCAAGAAAAAGAAAAAAAAAATACGATTAAAAAATTATATACGAACACGATCCACAACCCATTCCAACAAAACATCAAACACCCTATACAAAACCCAACACAACATAACCACATAACACCGCGCCTAACTAACCCCGCAACCCCCCCCTTCCAACCCCCAACCCCTAACCCCAACCCCCCTCAAACCCCCTCCCCCCCGACACCAACCAACATAAACACGCAACAACATAATCAACATAATCACCATCATGCTGCCCCGATGCTCACCCTACGAGATCACGCCCACACTGCGCGCCCAGAGAGGTCGCTCGGGAACGCCAACATAAATGTCAGAGTTGACCGCAAGTGTAGCGCCGAGAGAGGAAACCGGCGATAGGACCGCATCCGTTGCGGCGATCCTGGGAGACGCGAAGAATGAGAGGGAGGGGGGGGGGTGGGTGGGGTGGGGGTGAAGGAAGGATGAGGGGAGAGGGAGGAGTGGGGTGAACGATGGATGGGAGGAGGGCGGGGGAGTGGGGTGGGTAAGAAGGAGGGGGGGATGGGGGAAGGGGAGGAGGGGGGAAGGATAGAGGGGAGGAGGGTGGGGGTATAGGATGGATGGGAAGGGGGAGGAGGGGGTGAGGGGGGTGAGGAATAGAGAGGAGGAGGATTTTGGGGTGTGAGAGGATAGTTGGGAGGGTCGAAAAAGATAGGGAAAAGAAGGAAGGGAGAACGCGAAGAATTGGGGGGGGAGAGGGATGAGAAAGATTTGGGGGACAAGTTGGACACGAAAATTGTATGCGCGGAGGGGGGGGGGGCGAGAGGGAGGGAAGCGAAGGATTGTGGGAGAGGAAAAAGGAAGCCAGGATTTGGGGAAGGAGAGGGAGCGATGTCTTGGAAGAGAGGCACTCATCCTTGGCCCTCCTTATTTAACTTATTTTCATTTCATTATAATTTTGAGAAATCTGGCGTGTTTTATTTATTCATAGACGAGTTAAACTGTTTTGAATACTGCAAAATGGGTGTTTCTCTTAATTATCAAGTGTCACTATGAATTTTATTAAGAAATGACCAAAAGAAAATTCACAACTAAACTATAAACCCTTCTCCTCTTTTACTTTTTTTCTCTTTCACTTCATCTTACAAATGAAAAGACTTAACAATAAAAAGAACAATGAAATATAAGAGA